CAAATCGAAAATGGTCGAAAAATAAGTATCAAAGTTTAAGGACATTTTATATAAAAAAGTTAAGTTGGAACAAAATAAAAATTCTTCTGTAAGAGCATATCAACATTTTCCTAGAACTTATCAACTTACATACATATATACAGGATGTATTAAGGATTCCCTCCACCTTATACAGGATGCCCAACAATAACATAACCTTTTCTCAGAATAAGGTCTTCCGAATTGAAGGTCCATTATGGCCTGACCTTTCTATCTTTTGTCATTCATACAGATATATATTTAAGGAAAGGATAATAGGATCTAAGCAGAGGTAGGAGTCATTTCGTTACTTTTTACATTTATCTTTAACCTTGGATGAGCGTCAATTTGAAATCTGATAGTGTTTGCAGTAATCTATAAAATTTAAATTATTTCAAAGGTGATGCCTTTTCTAAAACAGCGCATTTAAAAATGTAATACTCATTTTTTCTCAGTTATCTATAAATCTCATAATAAGGGGAGTAACAAGACAATAGACATAAAAAATAACTTCAAACCTGTCTTCCATCGGGATAGGCAGAGACTATGACACGCCAATTACTACGATTCCTACATACCACTTTCGCTTCATCAACAGTCATCAATGTTTTCATGCATGCTCGTCGGTTAAGGGTATTTTCAATTTGACCCTTCTTTAATGTATCGCCAATCTGGTCAGCATATGTCTGCCCAGGACGACCTCTACTAATAGTGTGGTATATATGCTAGTTAGAGTTACAGTTCGTGAGTCTGTTTAACTATTTCACGATATAGAATCACCCTTGGAAGTCAGGAAGTCGCCAGTAAGCAGGCGTTCAAGGTTGGAGTTCGTAAGTGGATTTCTGGTGGAAAGTTGGTAGAGTCTTCATAACCTATCAAAGTCAAAGTCAAAGTCAAAATCATTTATTTCAATTAGACCAGAAAGGCACTTTTGAACGTCAACAATAAAATTAGAAGTGAAGCTATTTGCTCATTCCAAGGTGTAGATTCCTATGGAGAAGAACGAGCAAGAAACTCCATAGGTTACTCTTTTTCAATCAGGTTCACAATACAATTCTCTAGTTACATAGTTTGCTGTTTGGATTGTGCGAGAACAATGTAACACTAAAATCTAGTCAAAGTGATTGAAAAAGAAAATATCTCTTTTATGTTTGAATATTTGATTGCACATATATATACATAAATACTTATTTATTTATATATATATTAATTTATATTAATAAAATATTTATGTTTACAATAGACCTTTGAATGTATACTGTCATTTTAAAAATTATATTAGATACTAGTTGTCAACTTATTGCACCGACCACGCTCTCACTGCATCACCTAAAGGTTGGCTAGTAAGAATGCCCATGGCATTAAGCCCGCCTATGTACTCTTGTTGCATAAAGTTAAATAAATAAATAAATCACAGTTACTTTATTGAACTCAATCCTCTTTGCGTCATATTCTTCAGTTGCCTTCAGGTCGTGACTACCCCTTAGTACTTATTACCTTCCCTTGACAAGATCCTTCTCCTGAACCAGAAACGTACTGAGGAGTTAACGGGTTACCGAGGCTTCGGCTCGAAGGGCAGGAGTAGGAACGGGGTGATGTTCTTAGCCAGAAAGAGTCTGACACTCCCTCCCGCCTGACCCGAGCGGGAGAAGGCGTTCGATGATTTTCACCCCGTAAAAAAAATTACCTCTAGCAAGATAGATGCAGTATATCCACCACTACCCTCTCGAACCAGTTAATTTACAAAGCAACAGCTGAACCACCTAATTTGCCCGCCATATTGTTATTTTAACAATGGCTGCCAACCGCTGGTAAATAATAACACCGCTTTATAAAGACTTATTTTCCACACAATCACAAAGAATACTTCAAAGGAAAATGCACCTTATTGCAAGCAATTTCTCAAGAAAAATAGGTCAGTCTGCGTTGGTGTAACAATCTTGTTGTAAATGGAACTGTGTTAGCACAAGATGTTATGTTCATAATGTCTAGGTTTCTTTGTGGTTTGGTACTTAGTGTAGGTGTTAATGCAATGGATTTTTCCAGGATAGTGTTAAGGGAAAATGGTCTTATGACAGTTGTGGTTAATGTCTTGTCTTTTATAAACTTTCAACGCTAATTTCGTACAATACCTTTCTCCATTCATTTTTAATATCTACCCTTTGAGCACATCTTTTTGGAATACAGTAAAAAAGCTACGAATACTTGGTCGACAGTATCCCGAACATTTCTCAGTAAGTTATGCATTATTTACTTAACGGATTCAGTTCAAAGGATTTCCTCTTTACTTGGTCAAAGTTTATCCTTTTGGCATTAAGTTCTGAACTTTGAAATTCCACGGACGATACAAATTATATTATCCGACTTATACAAATCCCTGATAATCCTACCCAAAGTTGGAAAGGTACAAATAAATATAATAACTACGGTATAGATGATAAGATTGAAATTACAATGGGTTTGAATTTATATAGGAGTTTTGTGTACTTTTTATCATTTTGGAAGTTACAATTGGTATACATTTACAACAACAACTTGAGAATAATTCATTACCACCTTTATTTGCCGCTTCTATTAAAATATGTTACCTTTTAAACATATAATGCTAGGTATGTCACGATATACTCACACAGTTTACTATACTCTGAAATCATATCCCGGTTAGGGGCATATAAAGGTCCTTGACTGGTTAAAAGGCTATCTTTGGATCTAATATTGACAAACTAAAAGGTCTTATCAAGATATCCGAAGATTTTATCTTTATTGAGGCACAAAAATATCTTAACAACTTTTTATAAAGGACGAGGCCTTTTATTGAAACATTGGACATGATTCCAGTCCGTACTACTTATTATATTTATTATGTTTTTCGGCTTACCCGCATAATCATTTGACTAGGAACTCGATTAGCAGTAGCATAGCAGCGCGATAGTCACCGCGTCACGGGTCGTGGAATGCTGTTAATGAATATGAGCCTCTAGCATGGTTTGAAACTAGTCGAGGTCCTCGGCAAACAGTTACGTGAGTAAGCTTAAAAACTTAATAATTTATTAAGTGTGACTCACGAAAGTTATAACTTATTATATTATTGAAATTTAACGACATCGATAATACCAATAAAATGAACCTGAAAATGTATATAAATAAAAATGAAATTCTGTTTGTTAGTCTCGCTAAAACTCGAGAATAGCTGAACCGATTTGGCTAATTTTGGTGTTGAAATGTTCGCGGAAGCTCTGGGAAGGTTTAAAAGGTGAGATAAACATTTTTTGGTGGTACAAAGTTTGCCGAGTCAGCTAGTCGCTTATAAAATCACTTGTTTGTCGTTTACTTCCATTTTTATGGGAAAGGGGATCAAATTAATCTCCTGATAGTGGTCATAGACACCTGTAAACCAGAGGACAAACAAATACGTCCTCCTTACTTCACTTACGAAACCATTACCCACCACCTCTTACACTTACTGAACCGCGTGTTGACAATTTTTGTATCTTCACAATTAACTAATTCACTACCCTTATCTGCATATAAGTATATATCTCACACTTGACAATCCCCATTCAAACATTATCAGTTTATGATACGGTCGGTACAAACGTGCCGATTCCCTTAGCCACAAATCATCTGGCCTTATATAACAGCAACTTGGCCCAGGCCCAGCTGTGGACAACAATAATCCTAGTTTTAATACGACCTCATGGTGGAATTAAAGCCGATTCCCAGTCCAATATGGCCGAATAATAGATGCGATAAAAACTTATGACACTGCTTATACTGGAAGTACTTAAGTTATTCGGGCAATTGTTGTAAGAGGGTTGCTAAGCAATTACGTAATATTATAGGATTTGTTTCATCATCATCATCATCATCATTATCATCATCAACAGCCTCTGTTGAGCATAGCCTCTTTTCACACAGAGTAGGTCTGAGCATTAATCGCGCAAACGCTTGCTCAATCCGGGTTGGCGATTACAAACTTATAATTAAAAATTATAAGCCCAGGTTTCCCCACGATGTTTTCCTTCACTGTTTGTCAGTGGTGTCTAAATAATCTTAGAAAGTACATATAACTCTGAAAAAGTCACATTGGTTCTTGCCGTTATTAGTAGATTTCGAACTCCCATTTCGAATTCTCATGCATAAAAAGCGGGCGTCTGAAACCTCCGGGCCACCACGACTTGTAAGACGACATAAGATTTGTTTAATTAGGTTTTATTAATTAGAGATGATATCACACACATACACTCTCTTCATCTAATATACCTTATTCCAACATAATATTAATCTAGACCCACTAATCTAGAAATGAAGACCCAAGCTAGTTTAATGACTGTCCCCCAAAAAAAAATAACTGCTTTATTTTTTTTACCTAGGTTACCTCGGATTAACTCTAGTTAATATTCGAAAAAATAAAATCTCATATTTCGAAGTCTCAAATAAGTATATTTTTTATGAGATAAACGATCCGACGGATCACCTGATGGTAAGAAAGTCGCCCATGGACACCCGGAACACCAGACGCGTTACAAGTGAGTTACCGGCCTTTTGGGGATTAGGAATTTAAAGATTGTTGAGGATTCAGGGATGGAGAGATTGGAAAAGACGTAAGGGGAGGGCGGGGGGGTTAATTGGGCCTCCGGTAACCTCATTTACCCGACGAAACAGAACACAAGCGTTGGTTCACGTAGGCCGTCCGTCAGTTCGTGACGAAGCATGGCTCTCCCAAACTAGGAATAATTCATTTTGCTCTCAAAATCTGTACCTAATACCAACGAACTCGAAGGTGAGGCGATTTTCAACAAATATTACACACTGCGCTTTTGAAATTATTATTATGAAAGTTTGCAAATTCTCCAAGTAACTATAACTACTTATTTGTATTTAATCACAACTGACACAAAATTAAACTAGGTTTACGTTACAGTCTTGCTTTCACAGTCCACCATGTAAGTTAATTTGCACGGTGCATCCAGGGTGCAATCATGAGCCCTATTGTCAGGTGTGTGCCGTCAGAATGCGTCCAACCATGTCATGATCCGTGGCACATAGTGACACGTGAGTTTAATGAATGGATATATGCAAAAATGTTTGCGTACCTCATGTTATAAATCTGTTTCCATTGAAAGTAATGTCTTTTTTAATCTTATAAAGTAGTTGGCATAAATACTTACTTTATTTAGACTTACTGACTGCCTCGTTAGCCGAGTGGTCGCAAGTGCGACAGCCGGGCAAGGGGTCTCGCTCTGCTCAGCTCCAATTAGTCGTAGCGTGATGTTTTATAGCTTATAGCCATCCTCGATAAATGCGTTATCCAACACAAAAAGAGTTATTCAAATCAGACGTGTAGTTACGGAGATTAGCGCGGTCAAACAAACAAACAAAAAAACAAACTCTTCCACTTTATATAATAGTACCTCTATAATATTAAGAAAGTATAAGATTTTCATAACAACGTCACAAGGCCCTGAAAGAGCAACAGGTTCGGTTCCAACTAAGTACACCTACCGAAGTATATTATGAACATTTCTAATTCTCTATTCATGCTAGCGAGGAGCCATCTCTAGATTTCTATGATAAAACATTTATATGAAACCTAGATTAAATTTTAGACTCAGTTATTCACTTATTGACATGTACATACGCATTGCATAAAAGTTCATCAACCCAAATAAAGGTCATCGACTCCAGCTCTATATCCCGGGCGCCAGTCCTGTAAACTCGAGCTCAAAATCACCGCTAGAGGCGCTAGTATCGAGTTGTGTCCTTTTGGTAGCGACAAATATTGTGAATTACTTCAATTTCTAAGTAATATAAATTCGTATTAATTAGATTATTCTAGAAACTGTTATTTTTGAGAAATTACATAATTTTTGAGAATTGCTAGTATTGGTAAATGTTTTATTATTTTTATGCTTATAACAGCTAGTGAAAAAAATTATAAAAACCTTGTTTACTGGATGTGTAGGCCTGGAGCTCAGTGCTGTTGAAGATACCTTTGTCCAAGCCCCATGGGTCATCAGACCGGGTACTTACAGAACCTTTAGAGTCAGTCAACCTATTAGGAAATTAACATATTTATTTATAGACTAATAAACGAAATGTATATTTTTCTACATAAACATTCCCCTCGATAGCAACAGTAGCTATCATTGATCGGGTGTGAAGCATATATTTCCCAGTATTCCGTTAGTATAGGTAAATATAATCCAATATGCATTGATATCCGTACAAATTGGAGTTGCATGTAACTTGTATCAGTTCTACGTATGTTAAAACAAACAATGAATAAAATAGTGAATACTAACCGCTGTGACTATGACTTCTTGTATAGAAGCACTATTTTTATGGATTGTCAGTATGCATATGTGAGCACCATGTTAGACTAATGTCGGAATACAGAAACGCTACTCAATTTTAAGTCGTGCTTAAGTACCTATAGTTCAGTCACTACAAGTTCTTTGTAAAATGACGGAGATGGCACGATATTTGAACACGACTTAAAATTGAGTAACATTCCAGTATTCCGGCATATAAGATGTTTTTTTGTTTTATAATTAGTATAATGCGTCAAGCGTGTCTTTGCATTGTTCTCACATATACGCACACTACGCACAGTATTGGAATATAAATCAGAGATATTGTAGAACAAACTTTTTTTAAAAGAGTAACGAATGGAGTTTTTTCTCGTTCTTCTCCATTTGAATCTACATTTTGGAATGAGCACCTAGCACCTAGCTTTACTGACGGACTTACTGACAGACTATTATTTATTTTGTATTTCTTGACATTTCAAAAGTACCAAAATATGGTTTAATTTAAATAAATGCTTTGATTTTGACATTGACTTTGACTGTGGGTCTATCTGGTTTGTGAAGTAGTCCTGATCATGACTGTCCAGCTAATGGTTTTAAGGTATTCTCGGATTGGATTAAATATTATGAAAACTTTTCTAGATGTTTTTCTAGATTTTTCTATGAATTTTCTAAACTGCCTCGTTGGCCGAGTCGCATGTGCAACTGCCGGGCAAGGGGTCTCGGGTTAGATTCCCGGGTCGGGCAAAGTATTACTGGGTTTTGTTTTTAATTCTCAGTAGTAGCACGGAGTCTGGAATTGTGCCCAGTACGTGGCAATAGACTCACCCCTATTACATGGGACTCATAACATATAGTGAAAAGTGGGTGTTACATTGTACAGTGGCATTAAGTGCCGTAGATAATGTACACTGCCTACCTCTTCGGGGATAAAAGGCGTGATCTTATGTTATGTTTTCTAGATGTTTCTAAGCGGTACGAAGTCTGATATTGTGCACGGTGTATGAAAATAGTCTAACCTAAACGCTCTTTCTTAATCTTGGAGCGAAATTATATCAGTTGGTTTATCTACTTGCAACAGAGTGATTTTTGTTTTTTAATAATTGTGTCTTGAGGTAGTTGACGAATAATTTAAAAATGGTTCTTTATGTACAGTTCTGCCCAAACTGTTGTAGAATATAAGACGTAAAGTTACGCGATTGTATATAACCGACATGGTTTACAACTAATCCAGGTTCCGGATAGATTTATACAGGGATCGAGAGTATTAAAATTTGGTGAGGCTTGTCAGTTTCAAAGCTGACTGGAAAGTTTGTAGACATGTGGTCGTTGTAGCAATTTATTATTATACGTTAGAACCAGTGTTTGTTATACGGATTGATATATTTATTTATTTATTTCGAAAATGTACATATATAACACCACAGCTTACGCCATTAAGTTATACTGTTAATCTTATATAAATGCTATTATACCTCTATATTATTACGTCTCATCGGCGGCTTTGTCTCAGAGTAAAAACAGTTTTTTGTTATTCTAGAGTGTGGTCTCCTTCTTTAGCCTTTTTCTATCCCTAGGGTGTAGGCCTCCTTCAGTTTCTGCCATCTCTTTCAGTTTTGAGCAATTTCTATCCATTTCGTGCCAGCTGTTCGTTTGATGTCATCGTACCAACGCATCTGGGGTCTTCCTTGTGGGCGTTTTTCGCCCACGGTCTTCACTCTGTCACGGCTTTGTACCACGAACCCTGTTTGCGTGCAACGTGGCCAGCCCACTCCCACTTAAGTTTCGCGATATGCTGTGTGACGTCCTTGGCTTTACTCTACTGTCTTAGCCACTGGTTTCTTTTACAGTCTCTCAGCGTAACGCCTACCAGCTTCCTTTCTACTGCCCTTTGAGGATTGTATATTTCCACAGTATTCCATTCAGTAATTTTTGCACGAAAGCGTACTTACATGCATTTTTTTTAAGGGGGGAAAATCATTGAATGACTGCTCCCGCCTGGGCGAGGCGGAAGGGAGTGTCATACTCTTACTGACTAAAAACCACCCGGTTCCTCTCCTGCACGTCGAGCCGGAGCCTCGGTAACCCGTTCGGCTCTCCGCGACACTTACATGCATACGCCCTAACAAATTTTCCCAATTAATAATAATAAGTAGGAGAATATTCGAAGTCCAGCAAAGTATTAGATGTTTTTAGTCCAGAACGTGGTCGTTAGATACATGTACTCTACATATATAAATGTTACTCTACTATTAATTAAATCTTCTTACATTATAATAAGATACGATGCATGTTTCCATGTACCTACTGAGTTCTGACCTAGTTACAAATGCAATATACAATTTTCCTTAATTAATCCGATTCACTGTTCCAGGAATATACATGTTTTAAATTGCAAATATTCCTATATCATGGCGCGTGGCTCACTACAAATGGCTGCCATTTTATTGCATAACTTTTTTTATTTTATTTTTTTATAGTGCCTCGTTGCTGTCAAAGGAAAATGTAAAGGTATTTGCTGTATTACTTTTTGTGAATATTATTCTTTTGTAGGAAAATGATTTTAAGTATTAATGGGGATTATTTTTAACACTGCCTCGTTGGCCCTAGTGGTCGCAAGTGCGACTGCCGGGCAAGGGGTCTCGGGTTCGATTCCCGGGTTGGGCAAAGTTATACTGGGTTTTTAAAAATCTCAATAGTAGCACAGAGTCTGGAAATGTGCCCGGTATATGGCAATAGGCTCACCCCTAGCCCCCTATTACATGGGACTCATAAAATAAATAGTGAAAAGTGGGTGTTACATTGTACAGTGGCATTAAGTGCCGTAATGTGCACATCTGCCTACCCCTTCGGGGATAAAAAGGCGTGATATTATTTTATATTATTTTATTGTTGTTTGATATCCTTTTTTTATTTATTGGTTTTAAAAAACGTTGTCCACGAAGTCCTTCCTTCCTTCCTTTTACTTCCTTCTCCTGTGTCGGGGGAGCGTTTACAAACATACAATTTCACATACACATGACACCCAGACCCGAAACAACAATTTGTGGATCACACAAAGAGTTGCTCCATGCGGGAATCGAACCAAACACATTGCGCGGCAGCCGGTTGCCGAGGCACGCCGTCAACCGTGCAGTCGTAAATTAATAATTGAAGTAGGTAATAAACTCTATAATTTAAGAAGTTTAACTACTAAAAAGAAATGGTATACAGCTAAACCTGCCACAGAAACGTCACCATCAACCGCAACTCGGTAACAACCTAAAAATCTGCGCAAACAAAACTTAATTACTCAAAAATCTAGAAAGAAAATGTTGTAGAAGTTAACAAAACGGCCAACGTGAAGCAAAGCGAGCAGGTCAAAGGAATAACTTTAGTTTCCAGTCTTAGTAATGGACGTTTTAACTGAATTTTACAACTTTTCTCTTTGTGGCTAGTAATGAATAGCACTCCTTTGTAGCGCCCTCTGAATGACGGTGTCTCAGTGTCTGCCGCCGCGCCGTTTATGCCGACTTCCTGTAAATTAGATCTAGAGACAAATTGTGTAAGTTTGATTTTTGAATGAGTGAATAGTTTTTTTAATGGCATAAACCGGTAAACGAGCAGACGGATCACCTGATGGTAAGTAATCGGCATCGCCCATGGACACCTGGAACACCAGAGGCGTTACAAGTGCGTTACCGGCTTTTTGGGGATTAGGAGTTTGAGGATCGTTGGGGATTCAGGGATTGGGGAGATTGGGAAAGAGGAGGGTAATTGGGCCTCCGGTAACCTCACTCACACCACGAAATACAATACAAGCGTTGCTTCACGTCGGTTTTCTGTGAGGCCGTGGTGTCACTCCGGTCGAGCCGGCCCATTCGTGCCGAAGCATGGCTCTCTCACTGTCCTAATCCCAGTTAGTATCTGTTAGTTGGATGTTATGATGTTTAGGGAAAAGGAAACGGTTTACAATTACATTTTTAGTTCCTTGGGCAAATTGTATTTAATCACTAGTCAAGCGAGTCGAAGTCTTTAGATTATCTAAAAACTCCAGTCAAATATTTCTTTTTAACGTTAGGTCTTTAATGTCTTATAACCCCATACTAAGGTTATCTCCTGTATAGTGGGTGAGTTTACAAACATAAGTTTACATACACATGACACCCAGACCCGGAACAACAATTTGTGAATCACACATATAGTTGCTACGTGCGGGAGTCGAACCCGCGATACGTCGCGCGGCAGCCGGTTGCCCAGTAACCGCACTAACCGTCCGTACTTTTCTTCAATTGTTTATGCCATTTACCGAAGTAGCCATATAATAATGAAATTGCTCATTCTTGAAATCCATATTTCCTAATTGCATAATCTAATCTAAGTAACGCAAATTGCAATTTCCACTACAAATACTATCGTACTTGTTTCATCAACTTTTTACATGCTTCTGTGAAGTTCGTTTATTTAATGGATGTTACCATGTAATTTTATTGGCAAAATACGGAGACAAGAAATTATTATCAATGTATTTTTAGTGTAATCAATTAGGAACAGTATTTAATAATGTATCAATTATATTCATGAGACATACTACATTAATTATTATGTTTTCGGCTTACTCACGAAACTGTTTGACGAGGAACTCGACTAGTTTCAAGCCATGCTAGAGGCTCATATTCATGAACAGCATCCCGCGACCGTCGACGCGGTGGTCTTTTTTTTAAGGCGGTAAAATCATCGGATTACTGCTCCCGTCTGGGTGAGGTGGGAGGGGGTGTCAGACTCTTACTGACTAAAAACCCCCCCGTTCCTTCTCCTGCACGTCGAGACGGAGCCCCGGTTACCCGTTAGATTCTCCGCCACACGCGGTGATGTTTAACAGTTACGTGAGTAACCCGAAAAGATAATAATTAACATTGTAATATTGTTAAATACCTACATCACAACAAAGGAAAATTGATTGATTTCGAACATATATTTAACTCCATATCACAAAAGATGTCGCTTAAATCAATTAGCCTTTCAACAGTCGCCATAAATATATTATTGTTGCCTAATCTGTAATCCAATTAGAAATGAAACGAATAACGTGCAATTTGTACTAGGTATATTTTTATAAAGTCCATCCACAATTTTCATTGAATCTACCTACGCTACGTAACAATTACATACTGCACTAGGTAGTTATTGATAACAACACGTGGGTTTCGTTCGCCTCCAACCGCTACTAAACCTCTTTGATGTATCAAGACGGACAGACAGACAGAATTACTTATTAACTACATCATTACCTATATTCTGTACTAAGTTGTAGCATGCAATCCATTAGGTAATGGCTACTGTATTAAGTAGGAACTTATGAATCTATCATTTATTAATATAATGCTGTACTTTGGAAATGCTTCGACATTGATATTATAAAGTTCATAGTAGCAATAAAGTCGTATGCTTTGTCTACACTGCTTCATTAGTTACGAAGCCGCAAGTGCAAGAGGTTCTGTGTTCTAAGTATTGACGGGTAAAACAAAAACACTTTTGAGTATATCAAATATTTCTCAGTAGACATATAGACGCCATACGCAGCCTGACACGGTATACACAACATGAGACTCATAAACGATACATTTCAACGTAAATTAAATGTTAAATACCTTAGATATTAAAGGTTTATCGTTTCATTGCGCAGGCGCAGCGGATAAGGAAGCGGACGAGGAGGAGGGTACGGCCGGCGGAGCAGCGCCCCCTGATGACAACGAGGAGGAACAGGAACAGCCCACCAAACACATCCTGCCACTCACCAACCACCCGGCTGTTCTGTAAGCTCATTACTAAATAAACATTCTACTAAAATAAATAATAATATGTAATTATGCATACAAATAATTAATAAAAAAAAACGAAACTTAAAATTTTTACACCATAATATACATCATTTGAAACTTGCTGATTCCATAAAATCTTGTAACAACGCGAAGCCTTTGCCTTCACAATATGCAGGTCAACTTAAGATGATGATGAAATTGTATGATAGACAAGGAATTTCTGTTACAGGGAGGTGTCGGCCAGCCAACAAGACTTCTTCAAGATGTTGGACGAAAAGATCGAAAAGGTAAAATAATATTACTTCTGAAAACCAGTACTTTTGTTTTTGTGTAGCATAATCATTATAATTCATATTATCTTCCTCCAGGGCAAAGACTACGATTCGTCCAGCGAAACAGAAATCCGAATAGAGCATGAACGCCGAAGGGTGCTGATAGATCAATGGCGGTCTGCTTCATTATCCACACATTCCTCTCAATCGCAGCCGAGTCCACCCACACCAGCCAGGAGACGAGTGCCCAGGCCGATACGACCTCCTCCGGAACGACAGAACAGCCCCGGCTCAGGGAGACGCTGTTACAGACAACAACACGTCCCCGACGGCATGTCACCACCACCACGGAGATCACACAGCGCACAATCACATCACCCACCAGATCCAAGACAAATCAATGGCGACAACTGGCATGATCCGACAAAATCTCCCGTCAAAAGACCACAGAGTGCCGGAGCAAACTGGAAGAACAACCCTAAAGTCGCGCCATACAATCAAAAGCCAAGGAAAAATGACGCTAACGATTACAGAGGGAATCACAATCCAGACGGTCAAGACATGTCACAGATAACATTCAACCCAACATTCCAGACACACAGTCCAGCTCACTCAGTTAAATCTCAGCAACCATACATAGCGCAGATCATAAGCTACCCAATGTCACAGCAGGTGACGCCACCGTCACCGCCCAAGTACATCGCACCCCCAGAAGAGTACCAAGATCCTCAGAACAATACTGTAGGTGTAGATAACAGTAAACACTCCACACAGCGACAGTCCCCAGTGACACAAGTAAATACTCAACCACATATCTACTACATACACGGTAACACCACGACGACGATGGCGCAGGACATCGCTCAGCAGAGGCAGCAGACTGCCATACACCTGCAACAATACGTCGCCATGAAGCAGGCTCAGCAGCAAATGTTCACATATCTACAAAGAAGTCCACACACTGTGTTCCCTAATATAGATTACTCACAAAATCCAACTCAAAATAGGATGTACGAGGGTGAAGAGTTCATGGCTCAGTATGGACACCCAGCTATGCGACCGCACAGTGCACCGACTCCCGTGGGGGTCGTGAGGCCAATGCCAGTCGCTCCCGGTTTCAGCCCGATGGCAGATGGAACCCACATGGTACAAATGCCGATGTGGACACATATGCCCCCTGTAGTATCCACGATGGGCCCCTGGGTGCAGGGCCAGGCTCCCCCAGACATGCAGTACTACCCGCAGGCACAGTTCATGCCGATGTACCGGCCGAACTCGGCGGGCTCTGCCGGCACCCTGACGAGATACCACAAGAAGGACTCGAGTGATAGTGAAGTGAAGAATAACGTGTGCCAAAGCATAAATCTAGTCAGGCAGAAGCCGATAGGTCAGATCGTATCCATCCCTGGTCAGGAGCTGACGGTGTGTAACAATGTAAGTGACAGTCCGAGCCCCGCGTCCGTCAGCACGGACAGCGGGGTGTCGCCGGGGAACAGTGTGCCTAGCTCCAAGAACCTGGTCTTCAACACGCCCCCTGCTGGTCCGAACGACACCTTCACCTTAGATAATAAGAACAAAAAGAATAAAATTGTACAACAACCTAGATCTCTGAAAAATTCAAAAAGTCTAGATTCTTAGTGAAACGTTTGTAATTATGTAGATTTTCTAAGTGTATGTAGAGATTAGTTGATATGGCTATGTAAAGTATAGTTAATTCGATTCCAAAGTGCTTATTATTAAGGTAGGACTCGAGTTATATTCTGCTTGAATATTATCCTCAATACATTTTTCATACACATTTAAAACGTATCCCCTAAATCGAATAAGAACTGATTAAGGAATTGCTTTGAATACACAGAAAGAAAATTGCTCTGAAATGGAATACTCAATAAGTAACGTAGACAATATTCGCGTGGTATATTCAAATGTGATTCGAGCGGATCATAAGTCGAGTCGAGTAAGTAAATTATTGTATTTATTGTGATTCTAATGTAAACATTTTTTTAAAAGATCGGTGTTACATTATCATCGTAGGTATTGATAAATAAATCATGTCACTGCTTCCCTTCAGCCGCGAGTGTTACAGAGTGCCGAATTCTCGGGAAACATGTACCTCTATGTATTTCGAAAGTACTGAAGTTGATACATAATGTATGTATGCCATTTAAGTGGCGCCCTCAGTGGCAATATACCGGCAATAGTGAGCACTCTGTATGTAAATTCTCTGTGACTTTTCTGTGAATCAATGTTTACAAAAATAGGTCAAGTTTATTTTTATCATTTAAAATGAAATATTTTATAATTTCTAGTGCAATTTTGTGGTATAAAGTCTAAATAAAATGCAGTATTTTTTATTTTAATTTACCGATTTTGTAAATTTATTTTAATGTAACATAATACCTAATTTAAAACGGGTCTATTGTTTATTTATTTAAATGAAACTTTATGCATCTAAATGTATAGATAAAGACATGTAAAATGGTACCTTTAAGTGCCGGAATGCATTTTAAATTATCCAATAATAACGGTAACGAACGTATTCTTTGTTTTATTTTATCCGCCATTTGCTTGGATCGAAATCTCTACCACAACCACCATTGGTCATTGCAAAATAATTTAGGTGGACATAATTATTATTAAGATAAAAACAACGTAAGAAAAATGCAATTTGATGGTCATGCAGGTCCAAAATAAATATCTGAAATAAGTCAATAAGTTGTTTGACAAGTCGCGGAGAACCTAACGGGTAACCGGGGCTCCGGCTCGACGTGCAGGAGAAGGAACGGGGTGGTTTTTAGTCAGTAAGAGTCTGACACTCCCTCCCGCCTCACCCAGGTGGGAGCAGTCATTCGATGATTTTCCCACCTTAAAAAAAAAGTTGTTTGGCAAAGCAATATTTTGACCCACTTCAATGACCAACATTGACAATAAAAGTACCATTTCCCCAATTAGACAGATAAACACACACAGGGAATACACTCAACTAGCCTATCATAAACCACAACTGCCCTCCACATAGGAGGCACTAAATCATTCCTACCCTGACCAAATGCCGACCGGAACCGGAGGCAGCAATAGGCATTTTACAACCTATTGGTTATGATTAGGCAAGCGATCAACATTCGTGTAATACATGTTAAAATCTGTCATTGCTGTATAAGATATTTGTTTTATGTATTTAAAAAAAATACGTTTCCCCACACTAGGATTTTCTCCTGTGTCGTGGGTGCGTTTACAAACATACAAGTTCACATACACATCACACCCAGACCCGGAACAGCAATCTGTGGATCACATAAAGAATTGTTCCGTGCGAGAATCGAACCCGCGGCACGTTGAGCGGCATCTATTTGCCCAACCACCGTGCCAGCACCAAGTGTGTAGTTGGCTTTTCTCTCAATGTATTAGTTTTTGTGGAAGACACATACATTGTTGTTATTGAGGTAAGTAGAGATAATGAAACGCCAATAAGACGATTCTGGCATCATCTTCATCTAAAAATTTACATTCACCAATTTCTTCATCCGTCGATCGAGGATGTTTTAATATTGCCCTTTTGTTTCATGTCGCCTGAATTTAGTCAAAGTAAATTCGTAAACAACACTTTTTTGATGGATATATGTACTTCGACCTTCGACTTCCCTCAACATTCTCTGTGCTCGATGAACCTCCTTTGTCCAACTTTTAGCACCCATCCCTTCAGTGAACCTCAGCCACATTGAAGAATCACTCAAACTGAGAAGAAATTATTTTATATGTAAGTATTATATAATGTAATTCTCATTGATATTAAATATTTCAGTACTAGCTTTTACCCGCGGCTTCGCTCGCATCACAAAAGGATAAAAAGTAGCCTATGTGACATATACCAATACACACAGCGCCATCTAAACCAATAATTTAGTTTTTCCTCGAGAATATCAAATTTTTCCGGGATAAAAAGTACCCTATTATTTAATCCAGACTTCTAACTTCACGTCTGCAAAAATTCAAAGCAATCGGTTTAGTAGTTACGGCGTGAAACTGGAACAAAGAAACAAACTCACTTTCCGATTTATAATATTAGTAAAGTTTTCGTAACAAATTCAACCAAAAACTATTACAAAAACATTAATCTAATGACTATTTAAAGAGTATATCATGGCCACAATATTGAATACCTAAAGCCTTACATTTATGAATTAGTAATAGCCTAATAGGTTTATAGGAACGTCCCTAATACTGGCAGCTGTAGATCGATAACATATGCCTGAGGAGGTATGCAACCTCGGACTTATGAAGGCTAAGTATACTACTTAATAAGTAATCATGTATAATGAATGCATGGTTGACGCAAAGCATTTGTTTGAAATTCTGAATTTTTAATGCAATGGAGAATTCCAAAAGCTACTAATGTTAGATTATAGAATGTATCAAACATGATGTCTCAATAAAATAAAATTGTCACAACAAATTTTACTGAACTTTCGAAAGTACAGGGTAGGTACAAGGGTCATCAATTTTGTAATAGAATATTTTAAGATTGTAAATTTATACTTACGTTAGCCGTGTCTCTGGCCGGTTGCTCAAAATTGAATAATAATAAAACATTCAAAACCATAATCACGAATAACGCCATCTATTGGTAAAACCCGCACAAAAATCCGACAGTTACTTTTTTAATTTAAATATTTTTAAATTCTGTATGTATCCTTACGATACCAACCATTTTACACTTTCGTCATGACGATAGTTATAAAAAACCTAAAAAACCGACTTCAAAAAACCAAAAACAAAAAGTAAAAGCAATAACCAAAAAAAGTTGAGTCGAATTGAGAAACTTCTCCTTTTTTTTGAAGTCGGTTGAAAATAACTATTAATAGTATCGATAGATTAACCCACCCACTGATAGGTTAGAAGTCGGCGCCATGAGTTCTATACAAAATTATTTATTAGAACCTTAATAGATACCTAATTTACAATTTTCTGGCCATTAAGTTACATCATGTTGATATGAACCAACCTAGTTAGTACCTCCTCCTTTTTTTGAAGTCGGTAATAACTGACCCAGTTCCTTAAAAGTTATCCAGTGACAGAGTTTACAGTTGAGCTAAAAATATAATGGTTAAAGTAAGAAACACTTAAATTTCACTATACCTTACGAGAAGGTCTGTATTGTAAACTTGAAGTTTGCAAGTTCTACTGAAACTTTGTCTTGTATACGTAATATCCTTGAGAGTAAGTTGCTATTTTTACCGGCCTTTAAAACAAGAAGGAGGTACTATGTTCGAATGATTGTTTTTTTTCATGTATGTTCACCGATTAAGTAGGTATACCGCCTTATGTGGACCGGTTTTCATAATTCCTTTCTTTTGAGTGACTCCCTCGTTGGCCGAGTGGTGGCAAGTGCGACTGCCGGGCAAGGGGTCTCGGGTTCGATTCCCGGGTCGGGCAAAGTACTACTCGGTTTAAAAAAAAATTCTCGAAGTAGCACGGAGTCTGGAATTGTGCTCGGTATATGGCAATACGCTCACCCCCTACATGGGACTTATAACATAAATAGTGAAAAGTGGGTGTTACATTGTACAGTGGCATAATGTGCACCTCTGCCTACACCTTCGGAGATAAAACGCGTGATGTTATGTTATGTTTGTCTTTCTTTTGAAAGGTTATATTATAAAGGTCTGGATCTGACGATGGGATCCCAGGGAAACCGAGGAGAAATTTTGAAATTTATATGGACATCCAGTACATATCAAAATGGTCACAAAATTGTCAACAGCTTGATATTAGATATTATTAAATGAGTCATCTAATAATAGTTTGCAATTAATAGTTAGCAGCAAATAATAATTTGCTTTTAGTTTTTACTTTTTGTTTGTTATTAGATTTTGGTTTTTTGAAGTCGGTTTTTTAATTATTGCTGAAATTCCATGTTGTGATGAAAATCAAAGTGAGTTTTATTTTAGGTCTCATCTTAATAGACTAATTAGTCTTCTTCATTTACCTACTAACCTAAAAACGACTAAAAATTACAAACAGGGCATCAATTTAGGCCTTCAATTCATCTCCATTAAACCAACACATCATAATAAGCTGTTAACACAAAAATAAACTTTAAAACGAAAACAATAAGTGCAAAATACATTGACGGATTGATCGACCAGTTTCTTCAGCCCATCCGTCAGTTAGAACACAAATTACAACCATAAAGTTTGAATGATCGCTAACCGTTACCGCTTGAATAGTTTATTTTAACATAAACACCTGTTAACTATCAGCATTATGGTATTTATAAACATTTCACTCCGTCATTAAACTCATAGTTAACTGTAATATTTGATCGAAGTTTATATTTGGAAGTTTCCTATGTTATTTTAATAAGTATTCAATTTTATATATATATATAATGTGCCAAGTGGCGACGGAAAGTAGGTAGGCTTCTCATGCATGAGGCTGCGGGTTCGAAACCAACCAACGGCAAGTACCAATGTGACTTTTTCCGTACGATTTTCCGAGTTATATGTACTTTCTAAGATTATCTAGACAAACGGTGAAGGAAAAACATCGTGAGGAAACCTCGGCTTATAATTTCTAATTATAAGTTTGAAATCGCCAACCCGCATTGAGCAAGCGTGGTGATTAATGCTCTAACCTTC